ATCAAGGCCGCTGCTAAAAGGGCACCAATAATAAGCCCTTTTTCAAATGGGGAAAGATCTGTCGTTTTTCCCATTTTACTTCATTTCATCGTGAAAAGCACTTTTACACCTTACTTATAGTAGCATCCTAACCACGTGTAAACCACGGCATAAAAATGTTGAATACTTTATCCCTAGCACGCATTCAAATGAAAATCTCAAAGGTTTCTAATTCATTGGCCAGTTGTGCGTAGTAGCAACACCATAAAGCACACTTGGATCAACTTCAGGTTGTTTTTATAGGAAGGATTCACCAATATTTCCCGTGATAACTGCAAAGACTTTCATTATGTTCGATTTCATATTCGTCTCTCGAGTTATCTCACAAATACTCTGTGGTCTAGCAGCGGCCGAGCGGTAAAGTCACTGAACACTGGTAGTTCGGTTTGGTATTCGAATCTCGGCGGAAGGGCTGGCTGCATGGGTGTTTTCCCATGTGTAACGTGTATACGAGCCAATTTCGCTTAGAAAAGTCCTCCTTTCCCATACGCAGATAGCCCCGTATGCTTTTTTATAATTAAATAAACCAAACCAACCAACCACAAACGTTCTGAAGTACTCAAAATTCCTAGGAGGGCTGTCCGTCTCGTTGTAAAGAAAAGCAACAAGCCTAGCACAGGAAGGGCAACATAGTATTCAAAAACACAACGGTTCGTTCTGTAATGCTGTTGAATTGTCTTCAGGGGCATCTAGAGCGTCCAAAAATGCTTTTACGTTCGTAGCGTACAAGTAGAACAATCACGCATCTGAAAATAACCAATCAGCCCAAACCTAACCACAAAACGTAGTCTCATACCATTATGCAGTCTCCCAGCATACGTAACAATTAGCACAGCACAGTCCATCAAAGAACGCTTGCTTACCTGTTAACACGTCTAGTAGATGATAAAAGCGGAAATACGAACACCAGCTTTACAGTCACCAACAGTCTAACGAGAAGAGGAAGCGTACCAACCTAAAAAGCGCTTCACTTTCGCAGAACTAGAATATATAGCTTGCGTCCAACATCTCTTAACATAATAATTCAAAATGTGTGATTTCCTGGCGTTTCATACAATTCTGAGTCATCATAAGCTTTTTAAGTCTGCAGGAGCGGGCTGAGAAAGAAACTGAGTTTGTATGATTAATTTAAATTCAATGGCTCATATGGAAAAGTAGCCCAGATGACAGCATTAACTATATTCACGCTGAATTTTTATTTCTACTTGTTACATCATCGTATACGCTACGATACTGCCACTCAATATGTTATACATATTTTCCTTTTCACTTATGCACTTCGTCGTACCTTTTCAAATATCAGTTCTTTTTATTAAAACAAAACTTCAGAAACACACGAAAGCCTCTGATAATACACTGCAATAAATACACTCATGTCCATAAATTAAGGATAATGCAGAATCAGGCAAAGGAATAGTTAGAAGCAAAACAAATTTGACTTATTTGTAAAGCTTATTTATTAAACAAAAGGTAAAGAGCAAAAAAAGATGCTATATGTTTGATATTATTAAAAAAATTAGCGATTTTTCTTCTTGGAGCAAATTACAAAAAAAAAACCTATTTACAAAAAACGAATATTACATGGCTGGTATGATTGTTAATACATTGTATGTCTCCCAGACGATGCAATACAGTCCGTACAACGCCTAGGCATGCTGAGTATCAAATTATCGATCTGATCTTTGGGGATATTACACCACTCAAAAAGCAATGCTCTCCGAAGTTCCGGTAGACATGTAGGAGGAGGTTGACGGGCAGCAACTTGTCGGCCAAGCATGTCCCACACGTGCTCTACTGGATTCAAGTCCGGTGAGAATGCTGACGAGTCCATACGGGTGATATCCTCCGATTGAAGGCATTCGCTTACGATGATGGTGACGACGGGCGTTGTCATCCATAATCACAAATTCTGAGCCCATGGCGCTCCGAAACAAACGTACATGTTGTTCCAGAATAACGTCCCGATAGATTTGGTTTGTCATGGTTCCAATTTGAACATGCAGGTCAGTTCTGGAACCCAGAATAATTCCACCCCAAACGAGCACTCCTGCACCACCGTAACGGTGTCGTTCAATGATGTTTTCTTGGTGGTAACGGGTACCTGGAGCTCTCCATATGAAAGTATGGCGAGAATCAGACTGCAAGCTAAACCTGGACTCGTCGGAAAACATCACACAAGCCCACTGTTGCGGTGTCCAGAATGCATGCTCTCTACTCCAGGCTAACCGCAGGTGACAGTGAGTTGCAGTAAGTGGAACGCATCTGACAGGTCTACGAGCATATAGACCAACCCTAAGCGTCTGTACACGGTCTGCCTTGAAATTGTCGTACCAGTGGCTGAAGAGAGCTGACGAGACAGGCCTGAGGCTGTGCTCCGCCTGTTTTTTGGCAGTAACTGCCAAATACCGGACCTCATTCGGCGTTGTAACTCTGGGGCGACCTGTGCTGTAACGTCTACTCACATTACCATCATCTTGGAATCGTTGCCAAAGCCTGGAGATGACACTCTGGGCAATTCCAAGTTCGCCTGATACTTCCAGTTGGGTACGCCCACATTCCAGACAGCCGATAATTCTACCACGTAAAAAATCATCCAAATGCCTCCTTTGCGTCATAACTATTCGGTTATTGCACTTAAATGCTTATAAAGCGCCTGCGAACAATTTTACTTCTTTGCCTGTATTCCTTATATATCACTCTCTTACACTCTCGTCATTGTGACGGACCATCGGTGTCATCTGGTTACTTCCTGAGATTTGCATATGATTCTTGAAGATGTGTGTAGTGATTTTACAGGTGATATATTTATTTTAGAGTTCAATTTCCGCGTGACTCCGAATTATCCTTAATTTATGGACATGAGTGTACATTTCAGATCTATTGTGAATGCTATTGGTTATGATCTATAAACAGGGCATAGTCCCTTTTGCCTGCTATGTTTCTAGAGAGTGGGGAACAGATTTAGAGAAAAATATTAATTCCCGTATACTTCGCAGACTTCAAAGAAGTATTGTATTAAAAGTTATGCGTAGTTACAGAACAATTAGCTATGAAGATTTTGTAATTTCGGGATACCTCTTATTGATCTTCATGTTTTACATAGCAAAAGAGTTTAAAAATATCATCTGCAAACTTATTTTCGATACCATGTTGTTCGAGGATCTTTCTCACCCTGCGGATCGTTTGCCAATTCAAACTATAATTTATGACAATACCGTTGATGATTATTTCCCAGCTGTGTTATACAGATGGCAGTAATATTATTAATCGAGTTGGGCCAGCTTATGTCATTTTTCATCATGATTCTGAAATGGAATAAAAACTCTCAGAATTCCCAATGAATGTAGTGTTTTCCAAGCCGAATTACTATGCATTAGTGAATCAATGGAGTGGATATATGGAATAATTGTTCGTTCAGAGATAACTTTTTTATTTGCACCAATTCTCTTTCATCCTTACATTCTTACGAATATCTTCTCTAGTAATAAATTGTCGTTTCTCATGCGATTCGTAAAGACCTTAATAGTAAAGGTGTTAATGTCATGCACGTGGCCCCGCTGGCAATCTAGGAAATGGTTGACTGATTGGCTGGCAAAAAAAAAAAAAAAAAAAAAAGCTGCAAACCTTCACATTTATACTCTAATAACATTGCCTAGGCTATTCTTCAAGAAACAAAGTTGGAATAAAATAATTCTCAAGTGGGATGAATTATATAGAAATTCTGCTACCTCTTTGACTAAATTAGCTTTCCCTTCTATTCCTCACAGAGTGAATAATAAACATTTTTTTTTTAATTTTGATGTTACAAAATTTCTAACTGGGTATGGCAATTTTAATTCATATCTGAAGAGATTTGGGCTATCTAACACAGACGTATGTTCCTGTAGCGTCGGCGGAGTGCAAAATGTCGAATATTGTTGTTCTACTGTGAAAAGCTTACGAAAGAACATTTCTCATTTCCGGCACGCTACCTTTTAAAGTCGGAGTTTTGATAAAAAAAAAAAAAAAAAAAAGAGGTAGGCAGTCTAATTAGGCCTAGAGGAGTACACAAGTAAAATTTTGGGAAGATAGCACTTATCATTTTTATTCTGTGGGTGTGTCCAGAGTGGCACACTGAATGAATAGAGCTCCGAAAAGAGTGATAAAACGAGCATTGTTCTCAATGAACTGACCAATGAGATGCGGAGAAACAACGAATACAGACTCTCAGTTGTCCTAGGTTATCGGTGAGCCCGTTCTGGGCACACCTAGGGTTCCCCTTTTGATTTTAGGCAAGATTTCAAGGTAAAAACTTAAAACTAATATAAAATAAGGAGATTAGCATACAGCTAAAAAATAACAAAAATTTCTTTTCAAACAATTCCTTTTATACCCTAAAAAAATCTGGAAGATTTCTTTGAAAAATGAGGGTCTTAAAAAAACTAAACATGGCTAAAATATATGGACTGGTTTGTGTTGAGCTGCCATCTACTATAAATAAAGAAGGTTCAGAGTAACCTATAAATCATTTTTATTCAATTTTTCTGTGCGTACAGAAGGAAATTTTTAGGTGTGTCCAGACCGGACACACTGTGCCGCAAAGGGTTAACTCTATAAATATTACGTTCCCTGCCCCTCTTCACGTGTTCGTACAAGATAAAATGGCATTTTCTTTTTTCTCTATATTTATTTCTGACGTTTCATCTGCGAATGTGTTACTTTATTTTAATATTTTGCGTTGTGTTGGATTTTGTTACTTACCTTTATAAGCCTTGTGTAATATCATGTGACGCACAAGGAATTTAACTGTTCTTAAAAAATAAATTTTAAAAAATCTCTTATGAAATACATGCTGAATTACACATAAATGTACATGACGGCGTTCGAAATGTTGTTATGAAATGCTAGTCTGTACCTTTACATGGATTAATATGTGATGCTTGCGACATCAATATTAGGAAAAAAAAAAACAGAGTCACAAATAGTGTTGGGATCAGTTTATTACAATAGTCAATATTTATTCCATTTTGTGCTTTACACATATTTTTACTTTAGAAATCAATCATTTAGCTACTACCTAAATAACGCTTCACTCTAAGCAAATACATTTAACTGCAATTAATGAACTTCATGATTCTCTCACTGAATTCGAAGTATCAATACAGGATGCTAAACGCAGGCGCTGACTTCATTTTTTCACACATATCACATACTGTACACAACAAACTATACACATTAACAATATAGTAACGGAAAGTGTATATTTATAATAAATGCCCTTGCATTGGAAAATTCTTAATTTCCCGCGAAATACAGCCATAATAAATGTCAGGGAAAGCAATGGTAATATATGGTTCGATTAAAAGGTGTCAGATAACACTTTATTTAAGCTTTCGTTAATAGCTACATATAAAATAATTTTTAACATAGTCAGAAAAACGTCTTATTGAGAATTTTAGCTTGCCTTAATTCAGATGTTTTACATTTGCCTGCATGAAATGCTGGTAAGATTTAAGAACAGATAAATGCAGCAGTCAACAAGTTTTGGCGTAAAAAATAACCTAAGGTTTAAAACATATGTTTCGAATTTCCTTTCTTATTCACGTTTTCGCTATTAGACAAATATCAGAATCTTTTTATAACTATAACGTTCTGTAACGCGTCATAATTTCTCTCTCTGTTCGGTACACATACATAAAAGCTATCTTCATTTTATGTACTTAACATACTGTGTGGGAATTCACGTCCTGTAACATTATATGTATTTAAGGTGATTAAACATCTGTTATTGGACTGTATTCGGATAATCTTTCAGAATAATCTTTAAATGTATTTTTAAAAAGTAAGTAGACTCAGATGGGAAGAACGAAACATGCTGACGTTGACAACGATATTCTAAACACGTAATTTTTTATGGCATACTAATCGGCAACCTATTAAAAGATGCTATGAAATAGCATCATTTCTGAATTTTCAGGACTAAGTTAAACATCATGCTTTATACCTGCAACAGAAATTACATTTTAAGCTATGTTTACATTACAAAAAAAAAAAAAAAAAAAAAAAAAAAAAGCGTCAAGAAATATCTTAAAATTTTTATGATGAAAATTAAGGGTATCCAAAAGCTCAAAAATGAGTTTTATTTCAAATTAACAACAACAAAAGCAATGGCCGGAAGCGTGCTTTAAATTCACGTCATAAACTAATACATTGTGCGGTTCGTGACAGGCGGAAAAGTAACTACAAAGCTTCTTTAGCCAAGACTTGATACTGGACTGAAAATAGTTTGGTGGTACAAAGGCTGAACTACCTCGATCGTATAAACTCTTTGCACATCTAAGTCTGGATTTCCAGAAAAATACCAGCATTGGATTATTACAGATTGAAGACGAGTGAGGTTTTGAGACGAGATAAAAATTACTCGTGTTGAATTATAATGGACATCGTGGGATTAGTAAAAAATATTAAAGATACGTGTATAAAAATCTACACGAATTATAATGATACGCCAATGCATTACTACATTTGGACAGCGAATGATGCGTCTGATGCCTAATAGTATAACTGAAAATATAAATACAAAAATATTGGATCATTTTCTCTTTCCAGTGTTAGACTGAAATAAAATAGAAAGAGGAAACTTTGTGAATTAATATAATGAGCCAAAGGTGCTGGTATAAAGAGTGACTATAATGTAAATTCAAGCTTTTAAGATCTTAAATACTCTTCTTAGTCGCGTTTAGAATAAAATGCGACAGAAAACACACAAACGGAACATAAGATCGTGTCTTCTTTAACATTTATCCTGACTTTCCACATCTTTGAATGAATTTCGGCTACAAGTAAAAACGGAAGAGCGATATTATGCAAAACAATAGCTGAAATCTAATAGATACCACTATGAGCCAAATAGCTCTGCGTCTATTTTGCACACTAAAGGAGGCTAGATTTAAGAGTAATTTCTTTTATTTTTAGTCTACAGATTACATTTTAGTTTGGTACAAAGTCCTGCCGTTTTTTACTTACTTATTTAGTTGTATTTTGGAATATAAACATGTAATCTTTTCTCGGACTTACTGCTTCTAACTTGTTATTTACTACAGTTTGCGCACTTGGAATTCTAGGTTCTTAAAATTGAGATGTCACCAAGTTTTAATCGAAAGATTCCAAAGTTTAATTACTATTTGAAACAAGAAATGAGAATAACGAAATTGGTTAAGTAATATACAAAAATGTAGGGTATTTTATAGCGGTTAAATTTTTGGGGTAAGTTCAAAGACAATAACATGTAAAAGTTAAATAAAAATTTGTATTCGTCATGGAAGCAGATAAAATTATAACTATATTACCATTGCCTTTACACCAACATTTTCACACACTAATACTGCCAGAACTTTAAATTTTGTTTGTATAATCGCTGCTTACAGTTACCCAAGCAACTTCGTTTTATCATGTCCCTTTAAGAAGTGCTGTTGTGCAAAATCTATGTCAAACTATGTCCACAATTTAACCTGTAGTAAACACAGTGGTATACATTTTGTACAGAAACATACTAAATAAAATATATGAAAGAACAGTTTCTGAAACTGCAATCGTTTTAAGCAAACAAAATGTAATAAATTAAAAACCTCAAAAATGAATTTTTCTTTACTACATCGCACTGTTAATTATAAAACTTAGGCCTGATTTTCTATTTAAGAAAATTACAGCTTATTTTTAAAAAATTGATGTTTAGTTTTTACTGGTCAGACAATCTTACGTCTATCGTATAAAATTTATGCTAAAAATGATTATCCAAATAGGAATTTTCGAAAGTTTTCAGATGTATTAATAGTTTTTTTTAATACTTTTGATATTATCACTGAATTTGCTCTAAGAATAAACTCAATATCTATACATTTCCTACTTGTAGATTCATTTTAAATAAACTATAAACTCTTTATAACTTAACTGAATGGAAAATTATTTATTAGAATATCAGTAACGCTCAGAGAATACATTCCCTGATTCCAGGTGCCTCTGTTAGTATGTTCTAGTAGTCTCTTTTAAGATATGTCTATAATTTTCATAACTAAAATAGCCTTTATTTTACTTTTACGGAATCTTGCGAGGAATACTGAACTGATAATCTGTAGATTACCAGAGCAGGGGGAGAATCATACTCAGCGGAACACGACAGATATAATTTTGTTGCAATGTGTTTGTTCAGCTTTATGTTTCTTAGGCGAAAGTTAATAAAGAAGCATCGCAAAGCTATAAACGGTAGAGTATGACAAAACTGGAAGATCATCAGTCTAAATTTAACTGCACGAAGTTTATTGTTGTTTTAATTTGACTGGTGCATTTGCTGATTACAACGGTTCTACAAAATCTCTATTGGAAGTGAAATTCAGTTTAGCATAACGGTAAAAATGTCAATAAAATAAAATGAAAATGAAATATTTAGTTGTTATAACAAGACATACATTCCGAGGTATTAATAATATATTTTTTAAACCTATAATGAAAAATTAATGTTAAAATTCTAGTTTTAGAAAAATACTACATAGCAGTAAGATAAAATTAAAAGTTATGCTTTAAAGAACATTAGTTTATTTAGTTAGTGAGATTATTTTAAGTTCCATTTAAAAAACGACAAGGACATACATCTGCTTATAAATGTATTTGTGAAACAAATATTCCCATAATCAATAATTAGCGCCAAGAAGCAGTTCCAGCGTTAAGTTTATCTACTACAGATTTCAAACCATGCATACAAATATTGCACCCAGTATACTGCAAAATAAAATAATTTTGTGTACCTGCAATTCTAATATATTTACAAAACAACAGAAATCCGCTAAGAAAAATGATTCTTGTTTACAATATATCATTGATTTCTAACAACTTTTAAACTGATAAATCAAGGAAAGCAAAGAAATGCTACTAAATTTTGACATCATTTGTAAGCTCTGTCGTTTTACAAAACGTTTAAACTTTTAAATATAAGTCACTTTTCTTCTCAAGGGTTAGCGTGATAAGCACCTATAGCTGCAAGTATTAACTTTATTTTAGCTAGTGAAGAATGCAAACGGAAACCTTGTATCATGGTACCACATTAAAAATACAAGTAAAAATAAGTTAACACGATGATTGCGGCACTTTTTCGCATTGGGGGGGGGATGTTGTAACACCATGATAACAAGCTCTTTCCTTTGCAGCCTTTATTTAATTATGCATGTGTATATATAAAGAAAAAAAATAAATATAAAATAGATGATAAAGACAAAATACTTGAACTAATAATCAATACATTTGATCAAAAAATGTTTGTTCAGCTTTTGAAGAAAAATAAAAATTTCAAGTTCTGACAGTAACATAACATTTGTCACACCTACTAATCGGTGTAAGCCAGCAGGTTATCTCCTTAAATTATTATTCCTTTCATTGTCCAATCAAACCCTTTGGAATTGTTAGTACCATACGCCATTTCCTTCTGCAGGAAATGCAGTCGCTAAACAAAGAAGTACGTATACGTCTCACTTCAGTAAAAAATGTGGTCACCCACCTTTCTTCTGGATACAGATGTGTTGCTCAGGTGGCAGGAAAGCATTGAAGATCATATGAAACAATATACAGACGTCTAATATACAACACGAAAACTACTAGACTGTAATTCAGTCACAGATAATTGTAAAACATTGCACATTACGATTGTTTAAGAAATAAAGATTCATTAAAAGAACTGCATGTATATTTAAAAAGTTTTGCAGTTAGCACAATAAAGAAATTTCAATGAAATTTCATGCATTGCATATGCAACTTAAGATACTTGTCTCCACTTATGAAAAGTAACATTATTTTAAGTAGATATTCATCATCATTTATGAAAGGTTTTAAGAACCACTTATAAAACAGCTGATTAAAATTATTATCCCCATGTCCGGAATGAAATATTAATAATTAAAATACTTTTAAATACCAATGGTTAAAATACTAATACGATAATGCTATGATTAAAAGTGTACGGTAAAAGCACACTTCACCTGAATATTACATTTATTACGGAAAAATCACAACTTTTTAAATAGTGATAAAAAATCAGTCAAAATAATTAATTAGAAGATCAGTACGAAATATTAAGACAGGCATTGTTAAAACTAGCGATAAAAAGGACAATTTTCTTCCCAAAGTTATAGCCAGACTACGATATACAGCCATCTTTATGGTGACTATTATCAGCATCTAGTGACGCACTTATTTTAACCTTTCAGTTGTAGGATACAGATATTCAACATAGGAAATATCACCGCAGTTATAGCTTTTTTCATTCATTTTATATGCGATGCTGATTCACATAATTTGAACATAAAATACATGCATTATTTACTCTCGTGATTATCCAAACAAATAATTACAGTTCTTAAAAAATATTAAAGGGAAAAATGTCGTTAAACGACTTTTCTTTTAGGTGAGAATATTTCCAAACCAAAGCTTTCTCATGAAAATAAAAATTCGTAAACTACACAACAGAATTCTAATATATATTGCACTATTTAATGCATATTTTATATGCATGATTTATATATAATTTTATTAATAACAAAAGTGTATTTATAGTAAAGTTTCAAGAGCTAATGTGAATAATATTTCCTTTTCCCCATTTTTCCTTTCTAAATCTTTTCAAGCATTAATATGAAGTCACCGGTAATTTTAATGATATGTTTAAACGGCGAAGAATTTTTTTTTAAAAATTCACATAAATAACGCTTTTAATCTCAAAGATAATTTTCGATTTAAACACACGATCTTTTTAATAAAATTTTAAAGAATTACTTTATTCCATTTAAAATTTATTTTTTTTATGATTATAAAAAATATTTTTTATAACTCATTTCACATTATAATTTTGAGAAGGTCTAGATATTTTTAAAACTATATATGCGTGTTTAAACTGAGAAAAGAAGCGCGATGAAATTGAGAAATGAGTACCCACAGCTTTTAATCGAAATTTGTAAAAATATATATTTATAATATACAATAAGCGTGCTAATTGCCAAACTGTTGTAATAATGCGAAGTGTACTTTTATTATGAATATTAATGCTAAAACTTCTTAATTCAAACGAAACATTAAAAAGCCACCTAAGTTTTGTCAATTTGAAATGCAAGGAAAAAAAAATCAAACATACTTAGCATTATGACATCACAGACTAGAAGTAAATAACAACTGTATTGAGCGTGTGATAAAAATATTCTTCACGTTCAGTTAGAAATAACCTTGTTTAATTTTTTTTACACTAACTGGAAAACAACACGTCATGCAGCAATTTCCAATTGAAACATATTTTTTTTCCCTATCCTTTTCGTATGTTCGAAACAGTAGAAATGAAAACTGCTGAATAAAAGACATAGTTCGTTTGTTTCACCAGTGGAGTTCCACATGATCTTTATACCACAAATATCACTTCTTTTTGCGTGAATCCCAGATTGCTGTGAATCCATCTGTGGGATTTCTTATTTTGTCGGTCCAGTAATTTTATTTTTCATAATGGAAAAAAGCATACTGTGGAAGCGTCTTCATCAACAGTGCTGGTAGTGACTGCACAGAATATAATTACACATAGGCTTGCTGCTTCGTCCTCTACCTAAACAACCAATCATTTGACGGAAATTGAAAGTAGCAATACATCTCTTGGAAGCTGGCATTCGACTTAACTTTTGCACAATATGATCCACACTGTCTCTGATCTCATGCCGCGTGGAGCCTTTTCCATAGCCCAAGATCCATATTGAGACTAAGTTGACGTCTCCATGGCGGACGACGTTTCGGAAACGGGAGACAAGTTGTTGTCCATAGTCACCGATGGAAGTGAAGTCAACGGCGAGGGATTCATGGGACCTGGACCCGAGTGATCGGAAACGGCAGGCCCCATGTCTGTAAGACCATTTGCTGTAGAAGCAGTGAGCTTTGCTGAAAGTGAATTCAAAAGCGTAGTTGTCGTTGAGGGATTGCCACTGCTTGTTGATAGCAAAGGTGCCATGCTAGTAGGGTTTACTAGTGTTGGAGAATCAAGCAAACCAAGCCCTCCATCTCGATACCTGAAGAATACACAAAACAAAAATCTGAAAACTTTAAAACAATAACTGATGATATCTAAAAAAATGTAAAATAATGACAAGGATTTAAATACATATATATATGTATACTCTTGTTATTCGCATATTCTGATGAGCTACATGGGAGCGTCGATATTCTACACCTCGAAGATTCTTATGCAGTAAATTTCAATTCTTCTAACCAACACTTAAAAAGCCATCCAGATGGACGATTTCGACTATAACTGCAGATACTTTTGTATTAAAACAAAGAAACTTAAACTGAATTGACTAGAAGTGAATTTATGGTACAGGTACACCCAATGCTTAATTTCTAAAAGTAGAAATACCGGAGCCCTATGTAAGACCGTCAGGAAAGAGCAACAAGAGTAAATAAATAAATAAAATGACTATTAAAATCATTAATAATTTAAAAAATAAATAGTTAATGAGTATCAAATTAATTAACAGTTATTTAGTTAATATTAAAAATCAATATTTATTAATTATCATTTAATCATAATTATTATTTAATTATATTATCAAATAATCCCGCCTTCCTAGCGTGCCTTCGTGGTGTAGCGGTTCTGCACGCTGAGCCGGTATTCCAGAGGTCTGTAGTTCGATTCCCGGAGAAGGCGGTTGCTAATTTTTTATCTTGCCGGCTTCCAAAAAATACCGAATGTCTTTACAGTGGAGTGCCGAACTAAAAAGGATGTTCGATGAGCATTCTCCACGCCTAGGATTTGGCGATTGCGTCCCCTAAATAAAACCCCAATCACCCTTTAAAAGGGGGAGTATAAAAGGTATTTCTCCCGCTTTCCTAGCGTGCCTTCGTGGTGTAGTGGTTCTGTACGCTGGGCCGGTATTCCAGAGGTCCGTGGTTCGATTCCTGGCAAAGGCGGTTGTTAATTTTTCATCTTGCCTGCTTCCAATTAACCTAATGTCTCTACAGAATAATTAAAATTAAATTAAATATAAAGAGATAAATTAAAATTCAATAAGCGAATTTTTATATAATTTTATTGCTAAAAATCGAATTTCTACTGAAATAATTGCTCAGTTACATAAAAAAAAATGCCAGAGCCTTCTTATTTAGGGCTCCGGTGCGCTCCGGCTAGAATTAGAAAATAACCCCAAAACTAAGAAGTACCGAAGTCGGACTCCGGTGCAATTTAAGCTCTCGGTACACCTGACAATATTAAGCAGTACGTTTGCTTCAGTTACACAAACTAAGAAATATCAGCAACGTGAGCCAGCCAGTGAGGCGAAAGAGGGATTTCTAATTTAATTAGAATTACTATCACAAAAGCCAAGAGTCTCAATTTTTTTTAAATTTTTATTTTCGGTATAATAAAACCGGTAAGTAAATACGCAATTTCACAGCATTCAAAAAGTATTATTTGGCACATAAATTTATTCTGTAGCATTCGGAAAGCCCGTAACAACAACAACAGAAACACTAATTCTTTACAACATCATAAAGTAAGTCTTAACTACTGTTTAGTACAATAACAACAGTATTTTTCTTGTTATTTGATTGTTATAGCGTATTCTGTAGTTTACATGAAGTACACTTCCAATTAACAATTAAGTCCGAAATGCTTTCAGCACTCAAAATAAATAATCCCGTTCATTTAAAATCGTTATGCTGTTCGCTTCTAGCTCTGTATACAAATAATTAAATTCATATATTAACGGGAATTTACAAGATGGGTTTGAATTATATTGAGTATTTTCTCCCTCCTTTCCACATGCATTCGTGATTAACAGGAAGCACACTCGTCCCGGCTCTATACCGGAGACGGCATTGCGCATTTTTCACGCCTCCTGCTTCCCTTCCCTCAAAAAAAAAAAAAAAAAAAAAAAAAAAAAAAAGACTATAGTATTTAACAATAAAGCACACGACGGTTACTTGCTTAAAGGAAGCGATGCCTTTTTGGAGGATTTCCAAAGGAAAACTGGCTCCTATTAATGTTGTCCGCCGAATTCGGAAGCTAAGTCGAGTTACTAGCACACAGCGGTTTAATCCACTTGGCCTTGCGTGAGCAGGTGAATGTTTAAACACAAGATTCCTCTAATGCAGTTTGACTCTAACACTTGTTTCATTAGATGTATTTAATTATGGCAAAGCACACTAGGGCTATCTGCCCCAATGGGGAGGGATGCCTTCGTGGAGTACTTTCTAACGGAAACTGGCTCGTATACATGTTACACATGGGGGAAAACCACGAAAACCCATGCAGCCAGCCCGTTCGCGGGATTCGAACCTCGGACCGAACTACCAGTGTTCAGCGACTTTACCGCTCGGCCGCTGGTGTTCCCTTGTTTCATTAGGAAACAAACTTCAAGATGACTGGAGCTGTATTTCCTACTCAGTTTGAAGTTTTCTAGTTATGTACGAGTTTTTAATGAAATGTTAAAATATGTCTTTCTTTCTTCTCATCCCAGTGAACATTGTTGTTGGATGCATGGGCATTTTTGTGGCTTATTCCCATGCGTAACATAGATACAAGTCAGCTCTCCTTCGAAAATCCTCGACTGAGACATCGCTCCTATTAGGCAAATACTCTCGAGTGTTTTGCCTTAATTAATCAACAAAGAAACGCAAGAAATGATTTTCTTTTTTAGGAACTAAATTTCAGCTCTCAACTACCTCTGAGGAAAGTAAAGAAATATTTTTAAGACATGTATTTCATTTGAGAAAATAATTATATTAGCACATAATATCTAATTCCCTTTCAAAGGAGAAGACTTAAAATCAACGTTTCCTCTGAACTGTATAGGTACGTAGCCACATACTGATTTCTGTGGAATTGCATTTGTGCTTTCATTTCCCAATACGACCAATCGTATAATTACCAATATACAAAGTATCCATAATATATTATAAATACTTAATCCTAGATTTGACTCTGCCGCATTCTATTAGCTTACATACATAAGAAATTTAAAAAGGCTTACGATAGACTTTACAGCTGCGGTAGTATGAAAAGTAGTCTTGGGAAGTATTTCAGAGTGCTACTGAATGTCTCCGAGCAATGCATAATTCTTTACTTCCGAGCTCTATCTACCATTTTACTAAGCGAAACCCTTCTGTAGAATAATACACTCAAGTATTCGTTACACATAACATGCAAGTACGCTCTTTGATGCTGTTTTGTTTTGCACATGCCATCAATGTCAAGGACTGCATTCATTTAAGTAATGTTCACTTAAAAGTGTGAGGAAAAGACTTACCACATATTTCTCATTTCTTGTCGCCTGGCCCGCATTAGTTGCTTGTACTCTGAGATTCTGAGCTTTTTTCCGTCGACGATACATGTCCTTTTAGGACGAGGTCTATACCTGTAGTCTGGATGCTTTTCCATGTGAAGTCTACTTAAGCGTGATTGTTCCTCGTAGTAAGGCTGTTTTTCTGAATTAGTCATAGCTTTCCATCTGGCTCCTGCAAAATCAGATCAAGTACCTTTCAAATTTAATGGGATACAAATATGAATCTCTCATTTATAAAATAATTCTCTTTCACTAAGCACCGAATCCCTGCAGTGCTACTAATTTACAGCCCAAGAACATCTAAAATAATTTCCCATCACGCTCTTGTACGATTCGTGTATTTGTGACCAGGACGTATAAAAATGATTTTCCACTACATAGCTCAGATTAACCGACAAAGTTTTCAATAGCCGATTTGTTTAATTTTTGCCCTATTTTTTCAACTCAAAGAAAAACCAAAAATTGAAAAACCAATGCCTATTTACGAAGACGCAACTAGCGCTTTTAAATACACCACCACCAAGTAACCAGTTTACAGCTGTGCTTTAGAATCTTCACGCATTCTTTTTTTTTTTTTTTTTTTTTTTTTTTTTTTTTTGTTGTTGGATCGCGTGTTCAGATGTGAACCACTCTCACTACCATAAAACTGATTCACATCTAACGTGAGAAATTACAGGAAATATTTTCATAAATCATGAACAGAGACTGTGATGACCTCTTTCTTGCGCACAAAGTTAAAACTTACAACAGGAACAAAGTAGTCCTGTCAAAAAATAAAGAGATTTATAATATTATTTACTTATTTTTGATTAAAAGTAGTTCTTATATACCCTAAAACTCCTGGCACGAAAGCATACATTCCTGGTGTGTCTGGTGCCTGCCGAATCAATTGTACTCACTTTGGGGTCAACCCTTCTTTTGAAAACTTTCTTAATGCCGAATGGCTTAATTAGGCTAAAACTGGTACTGTCTGCATAGCTGAACGGCCTATGAGACGCATACTACTACTAAGAGTTTTTCGAGAGGAGAAAAAAGCGGGCAATAGAGAAACTTTTAGCTATCATTTACAAGATAAAACAATTCGGTAACCAAAAGATATTAATGTGTAAATTAGAAAAATCGCAAGTCATAAATGAAATCTTACAATCAAAATTAGCAAAAAGATTTTTATGTTAACATACGATGATTTCTGTATCTATGCAACTCTCCTTTTCATTTAACTGATGATATTCACATAAGTGTATAAGGTATAAAGCTGAAAAAATTTCCTAAAATTTCTCAGCGCACCTGACATACCTCATTTAACTTTTATTTAAACTGTTTCATTAACTGTCATGACTGTCTCATTTAACTATTACTGTCATCACACATTTATTGGTATCACAGATTTCAATCGTCTAAGTTTTTGCTTTAAGAACGCGTTTTAATAAATCGGGTTATCAGAAAATTTTGAAGTTCTAATAAGCGAACGAAGAAGAAATAAATCGATTTCGATAACAGTTACGCGAAATATCGTGGAATAGCATGCTACGTTAGGAACATTACTGTATATTTTGTCAAAATTTCTTAAAAATATTTATTTGCATTACGAAACAAAAGTGTCTTTTTCCGGCAATATCTTCCGAAAATCTCTGGAGACTAATCTAGGCTCTGGTGGATTTGGACACAATCTCTGCACTGTCATCATTCTTACGAACTGAGCTATGTAAGCCGAACTCAGATGATATTGACAAATATTCTGAGTGACGTTAACGTGCTGAGTTCTTTGGAGGGGTGTGACTCTCACACCCAGACAGACTTCTATTTGACGTTGCAAACGTTAAAGCTAGGAGTCCAAATCATAGTCTATATGGTCATCGGTGAAGGAGGCACCTTCAAGAGTTTTACTTGTATCGTGCATAGCTGCAATGGTGTAGGCTCTGGCTGAGATCTTAAATTAGGTTTTCCTACTACTCGCAGTAAGGCTGCTTACATTCACTGGAAGCTGCAACTAGCTTCAGTAGCTCAAAGGGGTAAGAAATCTACTTAAAATTGAAATTATGAGATTTGATCTTAAAATTACGTTAACTTTAAAGTACGCAAACTGACCGGGTGAGCACTAAAAAAAGTTACCGATATTTCGATGTAATTAAGCACATCGTCTTTAAGAGACTTCTGTAAAAAATCCGAAGGTCAAAAGAAAGCTTAAAAACTAATATCTGATGGGTACTGCCTTCCCTCCCCTCTTTTTTTTAAATGTGGGGCTCACAAAGGAAGATACTCTAATCCGTTGTACTTTTCAGCAATTTAGGAAAACATATTTTCTGTACAAGTCTTACGAATAGCCATCAGCCTTAAAGAGTATTTCATACCTGAATGCAAAATAATACTTATTTACAAAACAGGCTAATGTTCCACTTTCTTTGCGTGCAAACTTCTGCAATGAAGGAAACGGCATATTAGATGACGATACTGCTGTACATGTGCCAAAATTACTTTAAGCCAGAAAATATAGGCCATTCAGTGCTTCTATTTTTTTCTTTTCTATTCGAATTTCGTGTAACAGATGAAAACTGTTATGCGAAAGCATAATCCCACTACAGTTAACATCTAAATGTGAAAAAATATATATTTATTTGTAGTTAAGGAAGTTGATATTATTTTTTCAGAAATTAACTGCGTAACTTCATACGTATCACTTGTAAAAACGTGATCTTCCTTTCATAAAAACTACTATAAAAGCTCTCAGTTCCAAAATTGTAAGTCAAAAAAATATGTTCCTTTCCTATTAATAATTAATGAATGCAAAAGAGACCAGACTGAATTTATTTGTTTAAAACATAATTTCTAAAATATCTCGTAAAATATCGATTTTTGCAAACAAGTATATTTGCATTATTCGATATAAAATTTGAAGGAAAAGCGAATTTTTACAATTTACTACATACAAAAATTAAAGAAAAATAAAACAATAATTATCATCAGAAACCAATGTTATTAGGAAGTTTTTCCAGTCCATTCCCATTGCGCAGTTGAATTTCGTTCACCAATGCAAAAATTGTCTCTTTTTAATGCAGAAAGACGAATTCAAATGAATACCCCCCACAGAAATTAAAGGTTTAATCACGAATTAGCTTCACATAAGTAAGAAAGAAAGTTCATATATAAAATTAGCTCCACATAAGTAAGTATGTTCATATATAAAATGAGTGAATAGTATCTGCAGTTGCTGATAAAATATGGTCAGCAAATTTGACTATTAGACTTACTGAAGGTCAGTTTTATTTTTAAAACTCTAACATCCTTTTCTGAAATTTTAAGTTCAAATGCTTTGTGCTCTCATTTCGCACACATCATTCCTAGTTATAGAGAAACTCAGCGGCGGTGAGTTTCTTGCCGAAAATATCACACCGTGTGCGACATAAAAAGGCTCGCTCTGAAGCAATATCATTTGAGCGTGTCAAGTGCTGTTGCCTTAATCTCGATTCTTCCAGGGGAAAACGAAATGAGGACAGTAAGGAGCAGACCTTAAGTCTCGAACCTTGTACATACCAAGGCACTTTACTTATTTGAAAACATATTTACTAAACTGGTTGCAATCCAAATATTTCTAAGTATATACAGTTTGCCCATAATTCTATATCTGTAAATGCAGGTCGCAAAGGATTTCATACAACACAGAAATAGCAAAACGGGAACAAAACTCAGTATTATATTTTGAAGCTAACTTTTACAAAAATGAAAATTTTCACTAGACATTTAAAAAAATGAGAGAGAGAGATGAAGAAGAAGAATTGTACGTGGTTTTAAGCAGAAAGGGGGAGGAACTTAGTCTTTCTTGCCTAAGTCTTCCCCACAAAAATGTAAGAATTCAAACTGTAATAATGGAAAGTAGTTTTGGCATTTATTATCAGCATGTATTAGCGGGAACGTCAAAGTTATAAAAAGCCATTTTCTTAAAGCAGTTGAGAATTTTTCAACACTGAATACTATAAATTCTATTTTCGCTGTAGCTAAGGTGATTTTCTTAAGGCAGCCAAACACGTAAAATTCCTTTATTCCTTTTATTTAACTATTCCTCCTCTTTACTCTGTTTTTAGCATTTTTCCCTCCAAAAACTATTTGCTGAACTACGTTCTTCATATACACATGCGCATGCATTAAACAGCATTAACAATTAAACAGTATGTTAAAAGTTAACTTACATGCACAGAAACACTTGTAGAGACATTGAGTTATTTAGAAGCAGGCAGGATGAAAAATTATAAATGTTTTCCCCGGAAATCGAAACGCGGAACTCTGGAATACGCGCCCAGCGTGCAGATCACCACACCACGAAGGAACGCCAAGAAGGTGGGAGAAATACCTTATACACTGATCTCTCAAACACTGTTAAATTATACTGAATGATCTTCATTTTGTTAAGCATCCTCATCATAACACAGAAATGAGAATTGAAAAATTGAATATGAATGCATACGATATTTATATTTTGAATTAAAATATTACATGATAGCAGAATGTTCGAAAACAATGAGCACATCAGAAACAAATGCGGACTTTTGACAATAACAAGGAACATGACTGCAGACGCAAAACGATTTCATGCTCTCAATAATATGGTACTTAATTTCGCCATGCAAACAGCTTTTCCTAAGATTTTCCATGAGTTCTTTATGGGATTCATTGCTGGCCAGATTATTCGCTCGTAGTCTTCCGTTTCAAGAAATTCATCAACAGGTTAGCTCAAAGTGGACACCCACAAAAAGAAAGTCTGATCTTCATTTACCTTTGAAAAGGTTTACATAAAGTTGCAAGACTTTAAATAACCCAGTAACTCTCAACAGACAAATTCCTTGCTGAATCCGATTAACAGAATATGTCTGCTAATCATTATTCCTCCCAAAGCATGACTTCTGCACTGCCGTAACTCTCCATATCTCTTATACTGATGAAATGATTCCGTGTTTCCTGTCTCCTTCCAGCTATAAAGGCTTTGAGAGTCAGATGTTAAACTGAATCCGAATCACGGACAACACAAATCCGTTGTTGTAGACTCCAGCTCTGGTGCTCTTCGCAACTAATTGAGGCGGGCCTTAATTTGCTACGGGATTAGTACAACACAAACCGCAGGCTTTCTGATATAAAGGCCTTTCTCGTTAAACCCTCTGCGAAGATTTTAAGCGAAAAAGA